TGCTAAATGGGCATAAGGTTTCTTTTTGTAAGCGTGAAAATTTTCTAAAATTAGGTTAGATGGTTGTCTGATTCTGTGAATATAAAACCATTGGATTATACACTTTAGATGGATATTACAGTATGTGAACTCAATGTCAAAAAATGTTTTTCAAATGGCAAACTAAACCTGTTTCAACGTAGTATATTACAGGAACTGGGCTCTTACAGTGTGTCAGGAACTATTCTGGGAATTAAATACAAATTCAGCTAATCCTTAAAATATATAATACTGGTACTCTCGTTAAACTCATTTTGCAGGTGAGTGAACTGAGGCTCAGATAAGTTAAATAAGTTACCCACTGTCATAGCAAATAAACAGCTGAGTCAGAATGTGTACCCTGAGCCCATCTGGCTCCAGAGACTGAGAATGCCCGCCCCCATCCCACCCCCAGCGCTACAGCTGCCTCTGGTCGGTAGTCACTTTCGGAGGGTTTACAAGTATAGGGCTTGGGGGCTGGAGACAGACATTCGGTGCCTGCCCATGAGAAGGTCACAGCTTGGGGGAGGGCAGATATAATTAGAGGAAATGATGAAGATGCTCTGCGGTCAGGGCTCAACGATGAAGACAGGCACACGCTCACCGTGCTTCGGGAGCACTGGGTAACGACCGTCCTTTGGTCCTCCCTTGGTGGATGCGTGAAGTGTAACAGCACTCACTTGGGACTGGGAGGGTTACCCCAAAACTGTTCCTTCCCTATTTATTGCCTACCCACCTCATCTAATTGGTTGCTCAGACTTTCTGGGAGTCGTCTTAGATTCAACCTCCACGCCATACTCCATCACTTGTACCCACTGGACTTCCTCTGAGCTGCATTTCTTTTTTTCTTTCTTCCTGAGCTTCATTTTAAACCTGTCTAGTCCACTCATCTCCAATCCTGTCCCAGCTTATCTGGGCCCCTCACGAGTCTCCCTACTTGTATGTTTATTGCCCCGCAAGACATTCTGCACACAGCCATCGAGGAGTCCCAGAGAGTGAGCTGGGAAGAGGCAAAGAGCACCCCCGTTGTGAGAATGGGAATTAGTTGGCAGGGCAGGTGGGGGGGCTGTTGAAGAGGTGATATGAACAGCATGGGGCTTCTGACTGTCGAGGCATCTAGGATGGGGTGTGGTGGGTATGGGCATGCTGGTGGGGACTAGATGGCATGAGTTACCGGTGTGTGTAGGCTGTTGATAGAGCTCCCTGACTGCGTCTACACGGCAAGTGAAAAGATCCAGGAAAGGAGAGCTTCCCTGTACTGTGTGACGACCACGCCTGATGACAATCCGTCCTCAACTCCGTGGACTGTAGCAGGTGGGAGTGTGCTCAGTGGGAGGCGAGGGAGGACGTGAACAGAAATATCTCAAGGTCGCTTGCCTTAAGGCCCCTAAGGCACCAGGGCATGGGGGCATCTATACAGGGAGCCACCAAGGCTGTCACTCCCTGGGGCACAGAAAGGCAAAGGGATCTGAAGGGGGGGTGGGTTAGAAAGGAAACTCAATTGTTGCAAGGAATTTGCCAGGCCTTTGTTCTTAGTCCGTGGGAGGAAGCCCCTGAATCCAGTTTCCCAAACCATAGGTGTGGCTTTGTTACTTCTGATGGGTCCCGATGGTTGGCATCAACAGGGACTCTATGGCCTCCCAGGTCGTTTCAGGATGGGGCTGGCCTTGCCAAACGATCACCCAGGTGATTGGAGGTCGGGGCGTGGAGATGGAGAGAGGAACTAGACTGAGTTCAGTCATCTGGCCAGTGAGCTGATCAATCACGCTGAAGGATGAATCCCAAAAAAAACTCAGCATGGGAGGTGCCTGGGTGGCTCAGTGGGTTAAAGTCTCTGCCTTCAGCTCGGGTCATGACCTCGGGGTCCTGGGATCGAGCCCCACATCAAGGCTCTCTGCTCAGCAGGGAGCCTGCTTCCTCCTCCCTCCCTCTCTCTCTTTGCCTACTTGTGATCTCTGTCAAGTAAATAAATAAAATCTTAAAAAACAAACAAAAAAACAAACCTCAGCGTGTAAGCTTGAGCCACCTCCCTGGCTGGTGACACACACCAGAGTGTGAAGAGTGTGCTGTGTCCCAAGGGAGGGACAGGGTAGCTTTAAGTCTGGGACCTTCCCAGACCTCACCCTTTCTTCCTTTTGGCTGCTCCTGATTTCTACCCTGTGATTGCTGTTAATAAAACGGCCAGTGTAGCACTTTCCTGAGTTCTGGGAGTCGTTCCAGTGAATTACTAATCCTGAGGGGAGAGCGGGAATCCCATAATTTGTAGCTACTTAGCAATGGGGTTCAGGAAATGCTACCCCAAAATATGGTACCTTGGCACACTGAGTATTTTAAGCTGAAGAAGTTTGAGAAAATGGCAAACAGGAAGATGACTTGGACCTCTTCACCGCACCCCCCAATCCTTCTTCTCTGAAACAGATCACACCTTCCCGAGAGGTGCCATCTTTATACCAGAGGAAAGGAGAATCTCCTTTGTGCACAGACAATGGGATGTCAAGAAGAATCCTAATAGGCTTTGCTAAGTTTCCCTCAATGTACAATTACCCCACACTCCTTCTTAACTTACCACATTCCATGACTGTCCACTCCTCATCACACCCAGCACAAAAATACACAAGTCTGGGTGGCTCGGTGGGTGGAGCATCTGACTCTTGATCTCAGCTCGGGTCTTGATCTCAGGGTTGTGAGTTCAAGCCCTGCTTTGGACCTCACGCTGGGCATGGAGACTACTAAAAAACAAAAAACCCCAAAAGCACACAAGTCTGTTTTTTGGGGGGGGTCTTTTGAAGACCCCTATGCCATGTAAAACTTGTATCACATAAATTTGTATGTTTACCTCCTGTTCTTCTATCAGTTTAATGTTTAGAGCCAGTCAGGGTAGAGGGTTTGAAAGAGGACTTCAGCAACACACACACACCCCCCCACCCCCTGTCTGTACTTCTGGATTCTTTCCAGCTTATCTCTCAACTCAGGCAAAGGACCCTGGGGGCAAAGCATCCCTTGATAGGAACGGAGACTACCCCCTCCAGCAGCAGTAACAACTGTCCTGATACCACCAAGACCCCACATGATTGACACCGAGACAACAATCAACCTGACCTTCACCGCCCACCCTTATGGACCCACCGACCTTTGTCCCACATATTCCTCCTGTAAACCTGGCCGTATTTTCCGCACTTCAGAGACAGTCTCTGTGACTTGAGTCCGCTGTCTTCCCAGCGTTGGCCTCACGGACATAAACCCGTTTGTCTCCCCACCACTCCTCTGCCTGTCTCTCTGCCTTGGGGCTGAACCAGGCCTGTTTGGGGCCTTTGGAGCCAGATGCTCTTTTACCCCTTGAACCCATTACAGGAGGAGGGAAACATTCCTCCCCTAGGCTGAGCAGAAGGGTGGGGGGTTGTCTGGGAAGCCCTGAGCTTGCAGCTAGTGTCTGGAGGGGAGTCTTGTGGAACACCGTGCCCTTATCTTGTGGTTTGGCCTGACCCCAGGTCGTCAGTGTTGGGATTACAGTGCACGAAGCAGCACTTCCCCCTCTACTGGGGAAATGGGGTCTGTACCCCCCACCCATGGCACGCTTTGCAAGCCCGGATACAAGGCTGAGTCTTTGTATACCCTACCAGGCCCTCCGGCTAACAGCCGTCCGGAGGCTGGGAGAGCCAAGGACAGCAGATTGAGAAAACATAAGGATGTGTTTTGCGGTGTCCTTGTCCTAATCAGTATCACCCTGCCCTGCCCTGCCCCTAGGGACGGCGGGGGGTCGGGGGGGGGGGGAGAATGGTCTCAAGACTCCCCTCTGCGTTTGGTTTCTGGTGGGAACTGCCCTACGCTAGTTGAGGTGGTGGGGAGTGAAGCTGGTGCTCAGGAGGTGGGGTGGGACTATCGAGGAAAGCCCATCCTCAGAGGAGGGGTTCTAGAGGGAAACAGGGCAGACCTGGTGACCACCTGGGTTTGGGGACAGCTGTGTTTTACACATTCATTTTAGTGAGTTAATACACTTGGAGCTTTCCCATAAATACAGCTTATCCACCAAAAATGGGTCTGAACGGCGCAGGCCACTTATACTCGGATTTCTCTTTGATAAATAGAGCACAGAACCGTAAATGTATTCCTTTCCTTATGATTTTCTTAATAACGTCTTCTTTTCTCTGGCTGAGTGAGAATACAGCATATAATACACAAAACATACAAAATATGTGTTTCGGGAGAGTCAAAAGTTACATGTGGATTTTTGTACAAGGGGGGGTCGCCCCCCCCTGCCCCCCACTGCTTAAGACTCTACAGCATCTGGGTTTCTTGACTCTCTGGAAAAAAAAAAAAAAAAGAGAAAACCTGTTCCCACAGAGCAGCACGGAGCTGGAGCTAACCACTGCCCTCTCCGGACCGTGTGTGCTCCCCACCAGGGCCTGCCAGCCGGCCGGCCTTCACATCTGCTTTTCTCGCTTCTCCAACACCCCTTTGCAGGCTCTAGTCACTACCACAACAAGGCTCCTGTGCTGCGGCTGGAGAGAATCCTGCCTTCTGACGGGTCTGCAGCATCTGGGACAAAACAAGTGGAGCAGAGAGGTTTTGCTATTAGATCCTGAACATCCACGAGGACAGTGGCTAACTGCTTCTGAATTTCTCCAGCAGTCAGATGACCGCCCCGCGCCCTTTCCAACCACCGGAGCCTTCCGGATAGATCAAGCGGTTTATTGTTGGATGTAAACAGTTTCGGAGCACAGATTCTGTGCTCGAGTTTCTCCTTTTTCAATTATGGACCCAGTCCGCCTGGTACTGGGCTCTCTTCCTCTGGGCAAGGAGACTGGGAGGCAAGGAGACTCCCCACAGGCTTTTCCAGAGTGCGGCCAGTGTCTCAGTAAATAGGATTTAGTGTCCAGTAAAGGCCTGGAAGCAGCTGGATTTCTTCCACTTCCCACACCTGGCTCTTCTGGAGTCTGTCCCTAGTGAGAAGTTAGCAGAGTCCATGAAACAAAGTGAAGGATTCAGGGGCCCAACAGCCCAGTGGTCTTAACTGTGCCCTCACGTCTGGCTTCGTCGCCCCCATTCGGATCCTGACTTGGCGTCTGTAGGTCCAGGCGTTGCAGGGAGCGGATGAAGAAGTGAGGAGGCTCGCAGACCAAGCTGAGCTCCTCCTTCCTGGACCCCAGGGCCGGCAGGATCAGCTGGCGCGCGTGCAGGTGAAGGGGGATGTGGCGGGCCTTCGCCTGGTGCAGGCCCAGCTTCTTCAGGGTACCAAGAGACAGCTTCTGTACAAAGACAAGATAGCCTCTTGAAACCCAGGCCAAGAGCTCGTCCTGAGCAGCACACAGGGACAGACATTTTCCACTTAAAGGAACCACCACTAACTCCCCTGGAAGGCACAGCAGTGGACAGCCTGCTTCAGGGACATTCCCGGGAAGGGTTTGGAACTCAGGTGAGAGAAAAATCACCAGGCCAGGGAAGCTCTTATCAGCCTTCCTAGAGAATGGGCTACGACAAGAGATAAACAAGTGTCCCCCACCCATCTTCACCAAGAGCAGGAAAGGCTGCTTGAAGCCTCCAGAAAGTGCCCTCCCCCAACCCCACCTGTCCCGCCTCCAAACACAATCCAAGACAAACAAATGAAGCGCAAGGGTTTTGCGAACAGATCCTGCAGCTCCGTGAGAACAGCAGCTGTTTCTCTCTAAGCGAGGCGACTAGTTTGGGTAACTAGTACAGTACAGTCAAAACATCCTTGCGGTGACTCACGTCGGACTTTAACAAGGGGAAAGCGAAAGCTCCCCCCACCTTAGCTGTTGCACAGACAAACCGGGGTCACCTGGGGGGCCAGCTTATTCCAGTCTGAGTACTTGTGATCACCAAGGATTGGGCAATCCAGTCCAAAAGACAGATGAACTCGAAGCTGATGTTTTACTCCTTAACAACAACAACAAAAAAGAGACAGAGAGAGGAAACTTGAGCAGCTCCAGAAACCACACTGTGTTACTGTGCTTCTAACCCTATTTAACTGAAGTAAGACCGGCAAGGCCGCACCTACACCAAAGTATAAAGAAGAACAGAAGAAACTATAAGCTGGTAGGAAATAAGATCACACATGCCGTTAAGACTCTAAGTTCCCCTCCCCCTCAGCTCCCTTTCCACTGCAGATAACCATTATCATCAACCTGGTATCTCTCCGTGCTTAATTAACTTTTGTTCTGTTTTTGACACAAAGAGAAAGCTAGAGCGCACATGGCGGGGGGGGGGGGGGGGGGGGGGCAGAGGGGGAGGGAAAGAGAGAATCTCAATCTCACCACCGCTGAGCTCGTGACCTGAGTCGAAATCAAGAGTCGGAGTCAAGAGTCGGAGGCTTAACCGGGGGACCCACCCAATGACCCCTGTTTTATTTTTAGATAACATTATTATAGAATGCTAAATAGTAGTGCTTTGCACATTTTTCACTGTAGCAAAATATTCATAACATAAAATGTTATCTTAACCATTTTTTGAAAGATTTTATTTATTTTGAGACAGAGCGAGAGCAAGAGAGAGAGAGAGAGAGAGCACAAGCATCCTCCCCACCTGAAACTCTGTTAAACGACAACTCCTGAAAGTTGAGGATGTTAAACATCCTCCCCACCTGAAACTCAATTAAACGACAACTCCCCATTCCTTCCCGATTCCTCCGGCCCCCGGGTACCACTGTTCTACTTGGTCTCTGAATCTAAGTGCTCTAGGTGTGTCATAAGTGGAATCACGCAACATTCGTCCTTCTGTGTTGGTTTCTTTCACTTAGCATCAAGTCCAACCACATTGTGGCCCATGTCAGAATTTCCTTCCTTTTCAAGACATACTCATTCCGTCATCTGCCCACACACTTTGTCTACGCATTCATTTGGCGGTGGCCCTCGAGACTGGCTTCACCTCTTGGCTATTGGGGATAATGCTGCCACGAACACTGCTGTGCACAGATCTTTCCAAACTCCTGCTTTCAATTCTCTTGCGTAGACACCCATGAGGATTGCTGGGATTATATGGTAATTCTGTGTTTAATTTTTTTGAGAAACCACTTTGCAGATTTTTAAATAAATGTAAGCAAACTATTTATATCTTCCTGCTACCTACTATTTTTAAACAGCCATCCCCACTGGAGCTCCCAGCCTCGGATTAGCACCAGAGGCACACTCTCAAACACGTCAGCTGCAATCCCAGCCCTCTCATAGCACCAGCTGCTCGGAAGAAGGGCAGGACCCAGAGCGAGGCCCTGGATGCGGCTCAGCAGCCCGGGCTCTTGCCATCCCCCAGCAGAAAGGTGATGCCTCACCGGTGATGGGCTGGAGCTCCAGGAGGGCGGCGGACAGAGTGCTGCTGAGCACCTGGTACTGAGTCACAGCTGTGTGTGCCTTCCGGTTGCTTCGTGCTCTCACCATCTTCCCATCCTCCATGCGGAAGCCTGGGGACAGCGTCATCTGATGCCAAAGAAATCAAGACACAGTTGCAAAGAAGAGCAGAAAAGCCAAGCCCCTGGGGATGACAGCTCACCCACCTTGTAGTGCAGCTGCTGACCCTGCACCTCCTTCTCGATGACAGGGATGTCCACGACTCCCGCCGGGGGCACAGGGACGCGCACCGTGATGGTCCTGGGCGTAACACACAGACCCTGGCTTAAGCCATGAGGTGAGGGGGGAGATCCTCAGATTTGCCTACTTAGAGGCTGTAACACTGGACCTTCTGCTCTACTGTGGTCAGTTCTTAAGAACGGAGCATGCAAGTCATAGGCTGTCATAGCATTTAGCCTGAGAGCTTGATTCTACTCTTATGAACGCATCTTTTTTTTACTACTGAAGTAATGTATGCTAATTATAGACTATTGGGGGAAAAAAACAAAAAATTATATTTATAACATGGTCTTTCCTTCCAACCTTTAAAAATGAATATGTATAGTTTTTTTTTTTCTTTTTTAAAAAAGATTTATGTATTTGAGAGAGAGAGCGAGTGAGTGTGTATGAGGGGGAGGGGCAGTAGGAGAGGGAAAGAGAAACCCAGGTTGGCTCTGCCCTGAGCCTGGGCTCCATTTCACCACCTTGAGATCACAACCTGAGCTGAAACCCAGAGTGGGACGTTTAATCAACTGCGCCACCCAGGTGCCCCCCAAAATGAGTATGTATGGTTTAAAATGAAATGAGGGTAGGGGCGCCTGGGCAGCTCAGTGGGTTAAAGCCTCTGCCTTAGGTCATAATCCCACAGTCCTGGAATCGAGCCCCACATCAGGCTCTCTGCTCTTTGAGGAGCCTGCTTCCTCCTCTTTCTCTGCCTGCCTCTCTGCCTACTTGTGATCTCTCTCTGTCCAATAAATAAATAAAATCTTTAAGGAAAAAAAAATAATGAGGATAATATGGTTTTGTATCCTTTTTTTAAAAGATGGTTAAGTCCTGACTGCATATGAAATGAATGAATAAGTAAATGAATGAGTGGAATGAAAAAGTTACAGGACCACACCTACCGGATCTGCCAGGTAGACAACAGGGCAACTTGGCTCAAAGTCACAGAAACAACTCCCATAACAACTCAATAAACATTTTGCTGGAGGTCTCCTTTCATCATGTCAGAGATGGGGAGACAACCCTTTCTTTTGTCCTTACGCTTATGCCTCCTCTAGGTCAATGATGAAGGAGTCCTGCTGGGTGGCCTATCACAGAACCAAAGCCCACTCCCACAACAGGTCACACATTGGACACCTCATTTTGGGCTGGTGGCAGTTGGGCTGCCATCTGATATATTTTACCACACTTAAATTGAGTTTTAACTGCTAGCTCCCTCTTCCTAATGACACAACACTACTGCTCAAAAATGTTCACTCACTACATACACTCCAGGAACATAATCAGGCATTGATCTAGGGAGGTACTAGTTCTGTACAGATGAACAAGACCAAAATCCCCACTCTCAAGGAATTCAAAGTCTAGTAAGAAGATTCAAACAAGGGTGCCTGGGTGGCTCAGTGGGTTAAAGCCTCTGCCTTCGGCTTAGGTCGTGATCCCAGAGCCCTGGGATGGGGCCCTGCATCTGGCTCTCTGCTCAGCAGGGAGCCTGCTTCCCCGTCCCCCCAACCCCCGCCTCTCTGTTTACTTGTGATCTCTGTCGGTCAAATTAAAAAAAGAAGAAGATTCAAACAAATAACCGTAACAAGTTGCTATCATAGTATGCCAGTAGATGTTAATCAGTCGCCTGCTATGCTCTACTGCTAACTCCTACTTTGTGCACCTGGTATTTAAGGCCATCATTAACTGAGTTCCAGTCTACCTTTCCAGCATTATCGGTCACCATTCCCCACTCCAAACTACACTGCCTGCTTTCGTCCTTTGTGTGTATGCATTCCCGCCATCTAAAACACAGTTCTCCATCTCGTCTATCAAATCCTGTTCATTCATCAACACACAATGAACGGATTTCAATTCCTCCATAAAATGGTTACCAAGTCTAAACTTTCATAAACAATTTTCACAAATAATATAACATCTTTTTTTAAGATTTATTTATTCTGGAGAGAGAGAGAATGCACGCATGAGCAAGCAGGAGGAGGGACAGAGGGAGAGAAAGAGAGAGAATCCTGAAGCTGACTCCCTGCTGAGCGTGGAGCCCAAAGTGGGGCTTGATCCCACGACCCTGAGAGCATGACCTGAGGCGAAATCGAGTCAGCTGACCAACCGAATGAGCCACCCAGGTGCCCCAACACATTTTATAGACTTATATCTGGATTACTAGTATACATGATAGTCTCAATTTTCTGTCTTTCAGCTTTTACTATGAGCTAGGTACTATGTCAAACACTTCAATATGTACTGTCTCATTTAACTCTCTCCTCAACTCCATTATTCTCATTTTTCCTATGAAGACAAAGCTTAGAGACGTTTAAGAACATGCGTAAGGACCCATGCTGGTAAACGACACAGCTGACAGTTGAACACAGATCTTGTTGACCTTAGTTAGTCTGCTAAACCTCTGCCATTATCTGTAACCTCTCATCACAGCGGTTCTTACATTTGATTCCACAGCAGAGTCAGCTGTGGAGCTTTTAAGACATTCAGATGCCCATACCCATCAGACTTATTAATCAGGGCCTCTGTGGGTGGGTCTTGGCATGGAGATTTTTTAAAGGCTCCCAGGATCACAAAGTAGCTGCAAAATCTGTAGCACAAAAAGGACTAACTTCGAAAAGATAAAAAGAGTAGCTACAAATCAAACAGAAAATAATAAATAGCCCAACAGAAACCAGGCAAAGGAAAGAGATTGTTTGTTCACAGAAAGGGAAACTCAAAAAAACATGAGAACCCAATAAACATGCAGACAAGTAATATCACTGATACACAGGGAAATAGAAAACATTTTTTTTTTCCTCATCATAGTGGCAAACCCCCAAAATTCTCTGGTCAGCTGTAGGGGGAGGTAGGTCCTCATTACCCTAGTGGGAGGAAAACCTGGCCTACGTAATAATAGTAACTATTCAAATATTAAATGTGTGAGAGGCACCTGGGTGGCTCAATCAGTTAAGCATCTGACTCTTGGTTTCAGCTCAGCTCATGACCTTGGGGTCCTGGGATGGAGCCCCGTGGTAGGCCCCACGCTCAGCTGGGAGTCTGCGGGAGTTTCTCTCTCCCTTTCCATCTCCCACTGCCCCTCCCCTGGCTCATGTGCTCACACTCACTCACTCTCTCTCTCTCAAATAAATAAATCTTAAAAAAAAAAAAACAAACCATCACCACCAACAAAAAGCAAATATTAAACGTGTATACCCTTCAACCTAGCAATTCCATCTTTAGGAATCTGTCTTAAAGATATAATCATGTATTCTTTGCAACAGACTCTGAAAAATAGGAAGTTAACTCAATGTGCATCAATAAGGAAACGATGATACAGCCATCAACAGAATACTAGGGAGATCTAAAGGTACATGCAAAATGCTCTCCAAGTGAAATCAAGCAGGATGCAAAGTGGTGCAAAACTCAGTGCCATATAATAATCCACTTATCCATGCCCTGTATGCAGGAAGCTTACAGAAGACTAGAACAGTGATATCCTCTGGGGAAGAAAATTGAGTTGATGGAGGATAGGAGTAGGTTTCAGTTTTGTTCACCTGTCTTTCTTCTATTAAAAAAAATGGAGGTAAACCTATATGCACTAACATGGAAAGATCTCCAAGACATAGTTAAGTGGTAAAAGAAAAGTACAGTGTTGGGGTGCCTGGGTGGCTCAGTGGGTTAAGTGTCTGCCTTCAGCTCAAGTCATGATCCCGGAGTCCTGGGACCGAGTCCCATGTTGGGCTCTCTGCTCAGCGGGGAGCCTGCTTCTCCTGCTCCCTCTGCCTGCTGCTCTCCCGGATTATGCTCACTCTCTCTCTCAAAGAAAATCTTAAAAAAAAAAAAAGTACAGTGTACAGTGTACAATGTAATACACACACACACTGTATATATCAGACATGTTCATAAATACATTGAGTAAGGACCAGAGGAATAAAAACCAAACTATCCCAAGGGAAGGGACTAGAACAACAGAGTGGGTAGATTCTCCAAAAAATTTTTGCTTTATCTTTGTTTTTTGATGATTTTACCAAAGGAATAAAATCACGTATTATTTGTGTAATTAATTTTCAGTAATTTTTATGCACAAGCACAATGAGGAATCTCTATTCCAACAGACTCTAAGATCCTAAGCACTTAAGTCTCTTTCCTATTCTTTTCATACGCCCATAAGTCCTAGCACAGTGTCTTCTCTTAACAGGAGGTCCTTCCATATGAATGGACAATGAAATAAAAGGATGCCTTCATTTATACCAACTCTACCACTGGCAATGGGCTTCATACCAGTACTTCTTTGCCACCTGACGGGTTCTAAACAACTCTTGTACTTGATGTGCCACTTCCTTCTCCCAGGCCAACACCATTACACCTGTAGTTTCCTTGTCCAGCCGGTGGCACAGATGCAAGGGCTCTGCCTTGTGGCCATGAAGCATCTTTGCCAGGATGGGCAATACGTCACTGATGCACAGCCGGACCCCAGGGCCACCTACAAAGGGAAGAGCCACAGGTTTTGGTGGCCAGTAAAAGATCCCACCAAAGAACTCTACCTGGGAAGAAAGTCAATGTTTTCACGAGCTTTATTCTGAAATGTGGTCCAGGAACTAGCAATGTCAAAGCCCAGGGAGCTTGTTGGAAAGGAATCTCAGGCTCCCAACCCAGACTATTAAATCAAAATCTGCATTTTCACAAGATGCTCAAGGGACTCACATGCCTTTTCATAATGTCTGAGAAGCATTGGCCTACAGCATGTGGCCTGCTCCTCAGATATATATATATACTTATTAATCTACTTGCACATTCATAATAAAGTCAGCAATCAAAATGAGGAGGTCTGATATTTCACTATATAAACAAAGGTTTGAGAATTTGCTAAGTAAACTCAAGGGTAAATACAATACTGTGAGGCTCTCCTGAGCCATTACAGAAGAGCTAAGAGGATGACCGTTAGGTGAGATGCTACTCAGTTCTATTCTAGGCCTAACTAGCCACTGACCCTGAATAGATGATTTAATCTTTCCAACTTTCAGTTTTCTCATCTATAAAATGTAAATATCTGGATAATAGTTATCTCATGAGGAATGGGAAGAAAAAGATCAAGACAGAAAAAGAAAATACACAGAACACTTGGCAATGTCTGACTTAATTCCTTGTCTTTATGCTTTTCTCCCTACCTCCCCAAAAAGCATTCTTTTAGCACAACGATGCCTTTTCCCCCAATAAATCCCTTTCCCTGCATTTTCTTTCTATCGATCTTTCTTATCTCACTCCAGCTGTCTTCGACAACTACATTCAACATTTATTCAGAAATATTTCAATGTCCATTAAGTTCCAGGCGTCCTGGAGTTTCATTAAGTACTCTGTGCACACAAACACACACACATTTTCTTTTATTCTTTTTTAAGTTCTTATCATGAATACGCAACTTATTATGTATCTTTTGGCACTTTTAATAACACAAATATCTTCTATATTTTATAATTTCTATAAACTCTTCAAAGGAAGTTATCTTCTATATAGGTTTATATGTAGGGTTTGTTGAAAGATTTTATTTATTTGAGAAAGACAGAGCGAGAGAGAGCACGAGCAGAGGGAGAGGCAGAGGCAGAGGGAGAAGCAGGCTCCCAACTGAGCAGGAAGCCTGACTCAGGGTTCAATCTAAGGACCCTGGGATCATGTGGGATCATGACCTGAGTTAAAGATAGACGCTTAACCAACTGAGCCACTCAGGCACCCCCAGATTTATATGTGTTTTTGTGTGTGTGTGTATCCTGTGTACGTTTTCAATAGTAGAGATCTCTCTATAGGGCAGTTGAATCTTTGCTTTGGCTGAAACTCCGCAGCCCCCTTTTTTTTTTTTATTAGTTTTCATATTGGTTTCTGTGATTGGAGTTTCTGCATGTTTAAGGTGGTCCTTCTTTGATCCTTGCCCATACATAGTATAAGATCGGATTTTTCTCAGGTTATTCTGTCTCCACTCATGGCTTGAGGTGGCTGACTGATTTATGTTGCAGTTTGGGGCTTGTGGGTTGAGATTTTCTGATCTTTGTTCAGTGAAGATGGACTATTTTCCTTGGTCTGGACTTAACTGATGAAATTATATTCTGGATCATGTGAACAAAATGTGCAATAAAAAAGACCCTTGCAGGAAATTCAGAGTCATTATATGGAAATATGGAAATACCATTACTTATAGAAGGTAATAAACTACCAGAACACGTTATGCACAAGAGATTTATAGGCCAAAAATAGAAACAGAGTACTTATAAAAATTAGTGAATGTGGGAAAATTGTGAATAAAGGCAAAAAATATAGTGGTGCCATTGTCAGAAGGGGAAATGATCTGAACCTTAATAAAGTGCTATCTATTTTTTTCTTATATGTCATTTCTTCTTTTCTGTTTGTTTTTTTTTTTAATTTATTTACTTGAGAGAGAGAGTGAATGAGGAAGGGCGAGGTATAATGCAGAGGGGAGGGGCAGTGGGAGAGGAAGAAGCAGACTCCCTACTGAGCAGGGAGCCTGACACTGGGCTGTCAGAGGCATAACCGACTGAGCCACCCAGGTGCCCCTCTTCTTTCCCAGTTTTGATGGAACATAACATGAAGACAAGAACCACACACACAGCCTTAGTATTTCTCTATAAAAATTTCCATGGAGGTCTGGACACAGTGCATTCCAGAAATCACTGCTGACTGCCAGATATTTGGAATGCAGAGACTGTCTTTTATATCTCTGTCTTCAGTAGTGCCTTATATAGTACTCTACAAAAGCTTAATTATTTTGAATGCAAGTCTTCGAGCCCCACAAGTAAGTAATGTGTCAGAGTTGTCCCTAATTTTAGTGAAAACAGAAGCACCCCCCTCCCTCTCCCACGTGGTCCTTACCATGCACAGGGAGACCGTAAGGTTTATTGATGACCACGAGATCCTTGTCCTGGTGCACAATCCCTCGGCTCAGTGCCTTAGCAAGCACGTTGGGGTGGACTCGTTGCAGCTGCTTTGTGAACCGCACTAGTTCTTGAACTCTCCGCTGAACAGGGCTTGTGGGCACCTATGGGGAGAGAAGGAGCGCCAGGAAAAGACTGGTGAAGACTTTCAGTAAGTTTGGGTGACAATTTGGGTTGGGAATGACTATTTCTGCTTTGGACTCGCGCCTTCCCGGAATAATTTGAGAGCGACGGTGCATGTCTGTTTTACCTATCTCCACGCAGTGCTCAGGGCTGAGGCCGGCAGGAGCCAAAGACCCAGCCCGCAGGAGGATACGGTACCATACTGATCTCTTCCCTTTCCTTTCTCCCCGTTCTTCCACAGATCCTCCACATTTCCTTAACATCTGTCCGGACCCTCCCACCTCACTCCCAGCCGGACAACCCGGGAACGTACTGCCTCTTGGGAGTTGTGGTCCTTTCGGACTCACCGGCTGCTGCTTCGTCTTTTGTTCCTGTTTCTGGGCTCGGAGCTTCTCCGCTAATCGCTGGGCACTCATGGTCCCAGACGCAGCAGCGGCCGAACAAAATGGCTTTGAGACGAGACTAAAGACATTCCCCAAACGCTGCCTGGAACCCCAGGCCCAGAGGCGAGGCGCGTTAGAGCTGGGCGCAGCCATCTTGTCAAAAGGGGAGGGGCGTATCTAGACCCTGCGCGGGAGAGGGGCAAGAGGCAGGAGGGTATGGGCGGGTCCTGAGGATCACGTGGAGGGTGAGGGGGCGGGCTCTGGGCCGAGTCACGTGGGGTGGTGCGCGCTGAGTGCGGCTGCGCCGGCCGGTAGCTGCAGCTGGAGCGGTGGCGTTTGGAGGAGACTCGGTGAGTGTGTAGGGAAGCAGGGCTGGGGCTAGGAAATGCCGGTTCTTCAACGCTTTAACGTTTTCGCGTCTCCGGGGCTTCTGTTCTCGGAGAGCACTGCACCGGGATCCTTTTCTCCCTGTGCGGGAAGACCCCACTCAAAAACACTTCCCCGCCCCCGCGCCCCGTGGAAGCGATGCCCCATAAACGCTCGCCCCAGAGCCTTCTTAGGCGCCTACCTCGTCCCTCTTGGCAACCACATCCCTGGTGTCCGGCCAGCCCCCTGAGGGACGCGTCGTGTCACCTCTCATTTCCTTGCCGCTCGACCTTCGGAGATGCCCGATCTCTGTAGGCTCTCCACTCCTCACCTCCTCTTTGTTTCGGGTTGTAACCTGTCCTTCTCTCCCAGGGGTGATGAGAACCCTTCCGTTATCCGGGGGCCCCCAGCCCGTATTCCTACCTAGGGAACACCTTGAGTTTTTTGGAGTCTCCTCTCTCCTTACGCTCTCCCGCTCCTTCCAAAGACAAGACTGAAAATACGGTAAAGAGCACGGACCTTCCCTTCCCTTTTATGCTTCCTTCATGTTTCCCCCTTCCTACTTTGCAACCCCCCCAACCCTCTCTCCCTCTCTTCCAAGGTGCAGTGTTGGAACTCCCATGCCCAAACTGCAAGCGACTCCCTCTGATTTCACCGAGGGGTGTCTGGAAAGATGAACCTCTGGTTGGGGTGCTAATGTGAAAAATACCTTGGGACATACCTGCCATTTGTTAAGAAACCTAATGGCGAGTTCCGAAGGGATGTTCAGAAAACTAATGGATCTGTACCGACACTAGAGGAAACAATTTTTTAAGACTGCTGAGAATGAAGGCTCCTTGAGGAGTTCCAGTAGGTAGTGGAATTAGGTTTGCGACTTACCTCTCCGAAAGGGATTGGCAGAAGGGAGCCATATTGAGCACGAGTAAAGTTGAACAGGTGAGTGGAGCAAACCTATAGAAGACTTCTTCAGTCGAAGAAGAGTTTGAGCTAGATGTTATAAGTAATGAGGAGTGTTTGAAGCTTCTTGAGCAGGAGAGAGACTCCTCGAATCCTAGAAATGAATCTGGCAGTTGAATGCAGGACAGATTCAGCCGGGATGCTGCAGGCTAGGGGAACAGTAAAGAGGTTATGCTTTATCCCATGATCTTTCTCCCTACACTGTACTGTTCTTTGCGTTTGAACTGATTATGAATACAAGTCAGGATATGTGGTTGGCAGGTGCAGCTGAAGTCTTGAGTACCTTGAAGACTCATGGTTTCTTTGTAATCCCCACTTTAGGCTCAGAGTAGACCCACAAATATTCATTCTTTAGATGAATGCAGTGCGTTCACAGACATATATTAGATGTGTCTGAACATTTGAATTGTCTTCTCTCTGTCAGTTTTTGATCTGAAGAATGGAGGTAGGAGTAAATGTATTTGTAAAGAGTGGGGAGGAAGGTTTGTGTATGTATGTTTCTGTAATAAGACAGATGATCAGGATATAAATTCAAAGATTCCCGAGGGAGGTTGGGACACAACTTCTCTCTCTCTCTTTTTCTTTTCCTGGCAAATTCACAGGTAAGGTGAAGCCTCCTTTTCCAAGGACTCTGAAATGTGAATGTCAAGATTTAAATTTATATCATTACATTAATTACAAATTTGTTTTAGGTATAGGACTTTTATGATTTTGTATAAGGGCTCTTCCTTCCTTAACCTGTGCTTAATGGCATTCCAGAAATGACACGTGTTCTTGCAGAATTGGCATTCTGTGGTATGAAACAAATGAAGAACCAACTCAGATGTCAATGCTTGGTGACACAGAGCTTGTGTTCTTGGGTTTCAGGGTAACCCAAGGTACACACTACAGTGCCTAAGAATAAAAACACTGGTCAATTTTTTCTTCTAGAGAAGGAACTTTCAGGTTTTTCTTTTTGAAACTGTAAAGATATTTGAAGAATTCAAAGGTTTTTTGGTTTTTTTTTTTTAATCATAATACAGCTTTATCCAATATGGGTACAGAAGTTATATCTTAATATTTAAAGCATGTGGTTAGAGTTGCTCTCTGCATATACAGGAATTTATGCAAATATGTTGTCTGTCTTTTTTTTAATGCTATATTGCCTCTTTTCCCTTTGTCACTCAATTGATTTTATTTTAGGCAGTTAATTTTCCTGTACTTACATACTTTCCAACTTCAACACGTGTCACATTCTCCTTTTGTTTGGGGACTCCTCTTGTCTGTACTGTTTTCTCAGTACAAGGAAGAAAATTCTATTAGTGGTGTCTAGTGTTGCCTTCATTCTACAAACATGACTTATTTACATAGATTTTGATATATCCTTGTGTGTTCCCCCCACATAACTATTTAAAGAAGTACTTGATAATTCGTTTTTGAGGCTATTTCCAGAAGCGTCCATGAACAAGATGACCTTGTAATTTCACAAATATAAACAAAGAGTGACTAATAAAGGAACTTGTGTTTAAATATCACAAATTTAAGATTAATTAGTGGCATGAAGTTAGATTCTGACTTCTCAAATAATGATTTGCACGTTGCAGACTAACAAGAGTTCAGTTCCCTGAAGAGCAAGAAGTACTTGGATGGTTTTTGCTTTCAGATTCAAAGAGGGAATTAGCAGGAACTCCTTGGAGGTGTCTCAGAAGGTGCAGTTACTGGCAGCTGGGAGATCTGGGGACTAGTCCCAGCTTAGCTGCTTGTGAACCTGAACAAGTAACTTGGGCTCAGTTTTTTTGTCCTTTTTTTTTTTTTTTTTTAAGAGATTTTATTTATTTATTTGAGAGAGAGACGTACATGCAGCGAGAGAGAGAGAACACAAGAAGGGGGAGCGGGAGAGGTTAGAAGCAGGCTTCCCGCTGAGCAGGGAGCCTGATGCAGGCTCCATCCCAGAACCCTGGGATCATGACCTTAGCAGAAGGCAAAGGCTTAACAACTGAGTCACCCAGGCACCCCAGTTTTTTGTCTTTGAAAGAAGATCCTTAGAAGTCCAATCTTCTATTCTTTGAGGATTTTTCCATTGACACTTACTTACGTCCTTTCTTAACAAGTGGAACTTACTTCAGACTTAGCTTGCATACATTTAGCATAAGCACAGAGAATCAGGATTCTGCTCTTTTCCCCAGAGTTTAACCTTATGCCACTGAGCTAACATTCATATTTGAAGGTCACTTCATTGAATGGTGCTGGAATAGACCGTAAGATTCCCCAATATGGGGCATGAGAGGGAGTGCAGATAGGGAAAAAAAAATTAGAAAGCAGTGGTCTTCTAAAACATTGTGTTATAACCCATAATATCGGTGTTAGTTATTTTTTTCCATGTCAGCATTTTATTTGGCTTTTGAGTGATGCTCAAGGCAGGTCTGGCTTAGACCAGTACTTCCCAAACTTTTTCATACCATGGTACATGTGGAAATGTTGTTTCATGGAGGAAAATTGGAGGGTGCCCACAGAAGACAGCTGGCTCGCCTGGGAGCTGAGGCTAAGTCCGGTCCCCATCTGACCACACCATAGGCTGAGGAGATCCCTAGCCTGTGGCCTTTTTGACCATTTAGGAAAGTCAGCATTACTACACAATCAAGGTCTTTGACCAGTGCTAACTATTGAAAGGAATTGTATATTTAGTTGTATTTGTTAAATCGTCCTCTAATTTATTTCTCTCTTACGTGCTTTTATGCTTTTGGCTAGTTTATATTTGAAGATCTTACTTACCCTTACAAAGTGACCTTTCTAAAAGTTTTTAAAAAGTAGTTAACTGGTGAAGAGATGGGAAATGCTTTTGTCATAATGTTTTGACCTTCTTAGATTACGGGCAGTTTTGCTCTGCCTATTTAGAGAAAATACAGAGAATTTCTTTAAATAGTTTGTGTTTTCCATTATAAAAGTAATACAGAAAATGTGTAGGGGGGGGGAATCTTCCATAGCTCTGTTTCCCAAATACTGTTAATATCATGTTTTTTCTAGTTTTTTTAATCATGCATTTTTTTCTTAATTGTAAATTTCAAACATTTATAGAAGTAGGGAAAATAATGAACCCCATGTTTCCATCAGCCAGCCTCTACAACAAACCAACACAGGGCCACTCTTGTTCTGCACCCGCCCTGACCTCCCAGATGATGTTGAAGCATCTGTAAACACTTCAGTGTGTGTGTCTGTAAAAGATAAGAACTGGTTTTTAACAAAAACACAATACCATTATCACACCTTTCTTAGTATCACTAAGCAAGGAGTCAGTGGACAAATTTTGCAGCTGGTCTCTCTTTTTAAGTAAATTTGTTTGCATCAGGATTCGAGAAAAGCCCTCACATTATGCATGCTCTTTTAATTAGAAAAATAAAACTGGGCATTCAGAAGGGACGTGCAGCCTGTACCTTAAGGGCGTTCAGAGCGCATTGGCTCAGAGTTTGCACTTTGGATTCAGAAAGATGGTTTCAGAATCCTGGCTCTGCAACCTGCTATCTCTTTAACCTTGTGCAAGTTTCTTAACCTCTCTCACTTGAGCTTCTTTGTCTTGTGAAATGTGGATCGTGTCTGCCTTAGGGCTCCTGTAAGGATTAAGTGAGTTCATGCAGGTTAAAGCGCTTGTGTAGAACTTAGCACGTGGTTAAGGCCCCCAAAATATTAGGTATGTCCTGCATACCAGTATAGCACCAGGTTCATAGATTGTTAAGTAAGCCTTCAATAGGGTAAGAATCAAGAGATACGGAATTTACCTAATTCTGCCACTTAAGTGACTCACTTTAGTGTTTTGGACCTTAAATTTGTCACCCCAAAAAGCAGGTGTGGTGAACAATTAGATGATTTCTGAAATTCCAGTGCTTGCCAGAAGTAAGGCAGCATGGTATTTTTAGAGCATGAGCTTTGAAAACACTGGGGTTTGCACAAGGCTTTGTCATTTACAAGCATTTATTCTCAGCCTCCGTTTTTCCATATGTGTCACATAATTAATAATATCTAATAGTATTGTTGCAGTTATCAACCAGATCAATATATGGGATGTCTAGCATGTAGAAGGTACTCAAGTTATTAGCATTTCGTGATTATAAATTAAAATAAGATCATTACATTAGAGCATTTTCTATACATTGGAAGGGTGAAGATGGAAAACCATGTTCTAGAACATGGACGATATAAAACTGAGGGACTCTTCAACCATGTGGTTGGATAAAAGCCAGAGGTTGTCAGGATCTCTAGAGAAATTCAAGAAGGTATTTGGAACAGATAGTTGCTCAAGTTGAACAAACCTGTTTTCTGCATTTGAAAATTTGAACAACAGTAAGTTAAAGATTAGATTGTTGTTTGTATGCGTTTCAGTTGTTAATGATTGGAATATACTGTAAGCGTTGTATTCTAATGATATTGTTGCGTTAACGAAAATCATCTCCACTATCTGTTAATAGGAGAGCTGCACTGTCTGAGTTAGAAAACCAAACCCACGCTCGAGTTTACTGATCCCCATGTACTAGGCAGCATTTCCCCAACTTGCTTGATGGGGAGAACCGCCGTTACCTTTAAATCTACACATCCCTCCTCTAGAAATTTTGATTCAGGAAGATGTTGAGTTAAAAGCTCAGGAATCTTTTGCCCTCCCTCCTTCCTGCTCAACAAGGCCTCCAGCCAAAAAGTTCATTTGTTTATGGTTAGACTGGAAGAAAGGTTGGGTTACTAAAGCATGGAGAAAGAAAAATGGCAGATTTTAAATGTTGCTATTTTTTTCCTTCTTACTTTGTTTTTTGTTAAAGTAATCAACATACATGGTTCAAAGAAAGAGTGTTAGAAGAATGGGGTGTGGGGCAGTCCCTCCATTCTTCCCACCTCATAATCTCGTTCTTTAGAGGCAGCCACTCTGTTACTTTGCTCTTTTCTCAGGCATTATCTTCATATTTTTAAATCATTGATATGTTATGTCTTGCTTTTTTCTCCCCCAGTGATTAGCCTGT